CGTCTTGGTCTCAAGCCTCACCTTACCATATTAATACAAAGTATGCGGCCCTTCCCCCCTCTCCAGCCATTATATAAACGCAGTGGTAGCTCCTGTAATCTCTCATTTACTTGATGCAGCTGTCGTGGCTGTGACGGTACCTCCTGAAGACGGAAGCTTGTGTTGCCTCCGAAACGTCGTGAATTTTTATTTTTATTTTACTTTAAAATGTTTTTACCTACACGGTGACTTTACCGAAAAAACCTAAGAATATGAATCATTGCAGTCACGAAAGCTTCAAATCTAGAATCATTATTTTATCTTTAGACGTGACTTTACCGAAGAACCAAAGAATAATTGATGCAGTCACGAAAGCTTCAAAATTAAGATTGACAGTATTGTTGTACATGTATACATTGGGCATACACATGTACATGTTTTGATTTAAAGCTTCGTGACTGCAGGGAGTCATCTTCTTGGTTCTTTCGGTAAAGTCACGTAGAAGAGAAGTAATAAAATAATAAAATAAAACATAATACAATAATTCTCACGACGTTTCGGCCACAACGCAAGCAGCCGTCCTCAGGTGAAGACCAGGTGTTTCATTCAACACACTTGTCACATTGAAACATGTCCACACACGCGCGTCGTTATTTCAGATTAACAACACAGTCATTCTGGGAAATACTAATTTATCTTCTTGGTTCTTTCGGTAAAGTCACCACGTAGAAGGGAAATAATAAAATAATAAAAATAAAACATAATAAAATAATTCTCACGACGTTTCGGCCACAACGCAAGCAGCCGTCCTCAGGTGAAGAACAGGGCTGTCGGAAAGACAGCGTCTGAATGAGCTTCTACGTGACTTTACCGAAAGAACCAAGAAGATAGATCACACACGTGTTCTGCAATCTCCACTTGGCTCTGGGTGAATCTTAGAATCGACTCTGAGATCGTGTTACTTGCCCATAAAGCACCCACCTACATTGGGACTTTTAGAACCCCAGTATTCTATCTCGCAATCTACATTTCATGGATCCCAGTCTTCTCTGCATCCCACTAATGAGACGGCACTCCAAGGGCGATGGGCCTTCTGCTGTGTGGTTCTACATCTGTGGAATGCCCTCCAAAGACATGTTGTGATTGGGAATTGTCAATGTTTATGAAGTCACGATTGAAAGCTGACGTCCTTACTATTTCTTGGAACACTAGAGCAATTACTGAGTGCAACGTATTCAACGATGACATTTTCACATGCAACAGCTCTTTGGTTCTTTTGAGGAAAAGTAGCGTATCAATATAAACATTTATTTAGAATTATACTATCTTGTTCAGGATCTTTCCAATTTCCGTGCTATAATGAAAACTTTCTCAGTTAATTTTAAGATACGTTCAGAATGATGTGTTTTTTTTCTACCTTTTGTGAATTTCCATTAATCATCTTCCTCTCGCATCTTCCATGTTCCCATCGCTATGAAGTAGCTACCGTTAATTTCATCTCTTAGTACTTTCGGTAAAGTCACGTAGAAGGGAAATAATAAAATAATAAAAATCAAACACAATAACATACAATTCTCACGACGTTTCGGCCACAACGCAAGCAGCCGTCCTCAGGTGAAGAACAGGTCTGTCGGAAAGACAGCGTCTGAATGAAACACCACCAAGCTTGGCAGCGTATATTTAAGCTGGGTTAGAGTAGGAGGGCGCCTTGACAAAGGGATTTGCATATCAACAGAGGAATTTTGCATATTTATGGAAAAATGCAGATATGGGATTAGTCACTACTTGTGGAATGTGTAGGAGGTGGGGGGGGGGGTCTCAAGTCATATCATGCCCGTGCATTATGTAGGATTAGCAGCAACAAGGGGAGGCAGTAGGGTTGGCAGTCATAAAGGGAAGTAATTTTAATAGTAAGAAGCTGCAGCAGCAAAACCACCACCACTACGTACCAGAGGTGTGGACTCGAGTCATGTGACTTGGACTCGAGTCAGACTCGAGTCATGAATTTGATGACTTCAGACTCGACTTGGACTTGCATAACATGACTTTGTCCCCTCTGAGCTGGTGTGGACTCGAGTCATGTGACTTGGACTCGAGTCAGACTCGAGTCATGAATTTGATGACTTCAGACTCGACTTGGACTTGCATAACAATGACTTTGTCCCACCTCTGAGCTGGTGTGGACTCGAGTCATGTGACTTGGACTCGAGTCAGACTCGAGTCATGAATTGATGACTTCAGACTCGACTTGGACTTGCATAACAATGACTTTGTCCCACCTCTGAGCTGGTGTGGACTCGAGTCATGTGACTTGGACTCGAGTCAGACTCGAGTCATGAATTTGATGACTTCAGACTCGACTTGGACTTGCATAACAATGACTTTGTCCACCTCTGAGCTGGTGTGGACTCGAGTCATGTGACTTGGACTCGAGTCAGACTCGAGTCATGAATTGATGACTTCAGACTCCACTTGGACTTGCATAACAATGACTTTGTCCCACCTCTGAGCTGTGGACTCGAGTCATGTGACTTGGACTCGAGTCAGACTCGAGTCATGAATTTGATGACTTCAGACTCGACTTGGACCTTGCATAACAATGACTTTGTCCCACCCTCTGACTGGTGTGGACTCGAGTCATGTGACTTGGACTCGAGTCAGACTCGAGTCATGAATTTGATGACTTCAGACTCGACTTGGACTTGCATAACAATGACTTGTCCCACCTCTGAGCTGGTGTGGACTCGAGTCATGTGACTTGGACTCGAGTCAGACTCGAGTCATGAATTTGATGACTTCAGACTCGACTTGGACTTGCATAACAATGACTTTGTCCCACCTCTGAGTGTGTGGACTCGAGTCATGTGACTTGGACTCGAGTCAGACTCGAGTCATGAATTTGATGACTTCAGACTCGACTTGGACTTGCATAACAATGACTTTGTCCCACCTCTGATGGTGTGGACTCGAGTCATGTGACTTGGACTCGAGTCAGACTCGAGTCATGAATTTGATGACTTCAGACTCGACTTGGACTTGCATAACAATGACTTTGTCCCACCTCTGAGGGTGTGGACTCGAGTCATGTGACTTGGACTCGAGTCAGACTCGAGTCATGAATTTGATGACTTCAGACTCGACTTGGACTTGCATAACAATGACTTTGTCCCACCTCTGAGCTGGTGTGGACTCGAGTCATGTGACTTGGACTCGAGTCAGACTCGAGTCATGAATTTGATGACTTCAGACTCGACTTGGACTTGCATAACAATGACTTTGTCCCACCTCTGCTATGTACCGTTCATTTGTCAACACCTCGGTCTCCTGCAGTTTGCACATGATCTAACAGAGCACCTCAATGCAGAGATCGTCTTGCACACGATCACAGATGTCACGTGGCATTGGATTGGATCCGATCCACATTCCTGTACGTTCGGGCACTCAAAAACCCAAAGTATTACAGTAAGAAATGCATTTGCAATTCAAAATGAAAACGTACAATATTCGCGTGACAGATGCAAAAAAAAATAGCGTTGCCTCTTGAATCGCTAATGTGTGTGATAGTATACTCTTAGGTTTTTTGCAAAGTCACCGTGTAGGTAAAATATAAATTAAAATTATGAAAGTAAAATAAAAATCACGACGTTTCGGAGGCAACACAAGCTTCCGTCTTCAGGTGGAACCGTCACAGCCACGATTGCTGTGAGGAAATAACATGTTTGAATGTTATGAAGTACAAAGGACATAATTAGAGTGTATTTGTAAGGGGTCAATGTTAAACATTCTGACAATTTAGAGTTTGTTCATTGACATCAAGTGTTTAAATAGTTTTGACTATGACAAGATAAAGTCACGTAGAAGGGAAGTAATAAAATAATTAGATACAATATAATAAAAATATAATAATATAATGTAATATATAATATAATAAAATATTAATAATATAATTTAATATATAAATATATAAATAATATAATTTATAAATAATATAATAATATAATATAATAATATATTTAATACTATAAAATAATATAATATAATAATATAATTTAATAATATAATATAATAACATAATAGAATAATATAATTTAATAATATACTATAATAAAATAATATAATAATATAATTTAATAATATAATATAGTAAAATAATATAATAATAATATTTAATAAAATAATATATAAACTAATATAATATTAAAATATAATTTAATAAATATATAATAATATAATATAATATATAATATAATATATTAAAAAAATGTTACTTCCCTTCTACGTGACTTTACCGAAAGAACCAAGAAGATGAATCCCTGCAGTCAGGAAGAAGCTTTAAATCAAATTTATGACAATATATTCACCTGTTAAAGTCATTTTAAGTACATCTCAAGCGATGCATAAAAAGGCAGCATACTGACAAATAAATCACTCTGTGTGAATCACTGATACAGAATTTGCCGCTGGTCTGAGCAAAGAGGATATAGAGAAGAAACTTCTGCAGGTATAGTGATATTAACGCAATTTAACACCAAACTGTAATTTACAGGAATGATCGTAGACAATGCTCACGACGTTTCGATCGCAACACAAGCAATCATCATCCGGTGTGAAAACCACAGCAAGAAAATTAGAAAAAAAAATAAGTGCCGGTTTTTTCCATTTTTTTTTTGCTGTGTTTTTCACACTTGATGATGATTGCTTGTGTTGCGATCGAAACGTCGTGAGCATTTTATTGTTTTATATATTTTTATTTTATTGTTTCCCTTCTACGTGACTTTACCGAAAGCGCCAAGAAGAAAATCTGGACCTGTTTCGACATTCAATGTATAAGCCGTCAGGCTGGCTTGAACCATATTAGTGACCTGCCAGACGTCACTAGGCAGGGATGCTCTGTTAGCTATGAATGTGTCGAGCATATTTTAGATTTTAACAAATATGGGAAGGCTGATTACCTGCTTAGTCATTGGTTGTATTGTCCACAACGACGTCAATGTTTATTTTGCATTCTTTATTTCAGAACTATGCTTAGAGAGTTTGAACTCACTCGCCACTTACAAGCTAATTTGTATGCAGAACGGATATATTAAGCCAACAGGTAATTCATCATTCTGCTTATTATTATACTACGTGTTTATTTCTCTATTTGTGATGAAAAACATAATGTCATTTCACATTTTATTCGTATATAGTGTCCAGTCATCAGTGCAAATCTCAGAAGGTGCTGTAGAATTGTAACGTGCACAGCTTCCTAGCGGAGTCACAGGAGGAACGCACAGACCAGCAGGGGAGGCAGTGAGAGCATTTGCCAACAACTGCCCACGCCCTGTGCCGCTATATTGGGATGTTTCGCCAAACTCCATGAATAATAGCAATATGCAATATAGATCGTTTATTGTCATTGTCACCAGTACAACGAAATTTAAAATGCTCACCAGTCAGGGCATCATTCATAAATTTAAATTGAATAAAACAAGAAAATAAAAATAAAATTAAATGAAAGATAATCAATTTTATACTATATATAAAAACAGCCCAAGTATACCCACATACCCACATAAGGTCACATTTTGTCATTGCACATCTCTATTTCACAATCAATTGTAAACACTATTACTTAATAATTAATTAGCATTATTGAGTGTGCTGATCGCTGTAGGATAAAAGCTCTGTTTGAATCTGTTTGTCCTTCACTATGGGGACCTCATTTGCCAGTAAAAATATGATAATTGGTTCTTTACCCTTCTATCTGGCAACAAAACTGACACCTTTTTGCAAGGAGTCATGTTTGCATAGACCGCAATACCTGCAGTCATAAATACAAACAAAAGACATAACTCTGATAATGTGCACTGTCCTGAGTTATGTATATCAGAGTTATGTCTTTTGTTTGTATTTATGACTGCAGGTATTGAGGTCTATGCAAACATGACTCCTTGCAAAAAGGTGTCAGTTTTGTTGCCAGATAGAAGGGTAAAGAACCAATTATCTGTTTGTCCTTGTTTTTGACCGATCTGAATCGTCTGCCTGATGGCAACAGCTCAAACAGTGAGTGTCCAGGGTGAGAAGAGTCCTTTATAATGTTCATGAGCGTCTGTGCATGGAACAAAAACGTACGTGTGCCAGGGGTAGTAACTCAATATCCGTGCATATGGATGTCATGCATTTGCTCTTCTGCCATACCCTGGCAAGCCAAGCATATGGCGATATTGGCGACCTTGGGAAGGGAGTTTTTACAATTTGTGTTTGTAGTCTTAGGTTATTTCGGTAAAGTCACCGTGTAGGTTAAAAAGATAAAACTGAATAAAAGTAAAATAAAATAAAACTCACGGCGTTTCGGAGGCAACACAAGCTTCTGTCTTCAGGTGGAACCGTCACAGCCACGGCAGCTGTATCAAGTAGATGAGAGATTGCAAGAGCTACCACTCCGTATATATGATGGTTGGTTTAATAAAAAGAGTGGTAGCTCTTGCAATCTCTCATTAACTTGATACGGCTGTCGTGGCTGTGACGGTTCCACCTGAAGACGGAAGCTTGTGTTGCCTCCGAAACGTCGTGATTTTATTTTATTTATTAATTTTACATTTTTACCTACGTGACTTTACCGAAAAAACCTAAGAATATGAATCCTTGCAGTCACGAAAGCTTCAAATCTAGAATTTGTGTTTGATCGAGCCACCCTGTATTACAGGCATGAAGTATAGCCACCGGTACCCTGGCATTTAATTTAAGTTTATTTTTAAATCCTTTATATTAAGTTCACTTGCTTGCTTGAGTGCTTGCTTGCTTACGACCGTGCAAATCTTTCGGTCGTTTTTTAACCCACTTCCCGTGATCCAATCGAGCTGTCATTTTGCACACAGACTCGTTGTGCGAGACAATGTATGTTCGTGAAAATGTTTTTCCAAAACTTTTACACTTTTTAAGATTTTTTTTTATATTTAATTACCAATTGCTTAATGGTGGCAGGCAATCATCTGACCCATAGGTGGCAGCCATCTCAAGCCAGAGGACGAGAGGACTCTAGCCGCCACGCATATAAAGGATTTAGAGTGAAAAATGTTGATTGTTACGGGTTAATTTTTGACATATCATGGGACCTCCTTTGCCTTTCTTTTAATGTTTTGCTATTTCAACAAAAATGGTTTTATGTTGCACAGATGTCGGTAGATTGATGGCTTCCTACTACATGGCATTTGACACCATCAAGCTGTTTGGCACTATACAGGGATCGGAAGCCATCCAAGACCTGGTAAGCCAGGTCACAGAGTTGGCTTCTCATTGTTCCACATCGCCACCATCAACTCACGTCAACACGGCTGACTGAGCAGTCTCCCTTACTTAGCAGAGGCAGAGAGCCCCCTCCTCCTATGCCCACCCAACCCCCCCTTTGCCCCCTGACCCCATCCCCCACACACACATTCACTCGTACATCCTGATCTCTGGACTGCACATTGCACTACATCGCACTACCACACTGGTTTCAATATCTTATTTCTTTAAATACTTTATTAAATAATATTTTACATTTTAAAAAATTCTTGACTGTTGTCTATTTTAAGTTTATTACATTTTTGATTATTCATCTTGTGTTGATCGCCGATTGTTGATTGTTTATTTATGTCTGTTAATTGTGATTAATTTTTTTATTGCTTGGTTGCACCGTGGGACCAAGAGAGAGGACTGTAATTCCATCTGTGTTGTATGTCATGCATGTGTAGTATTCTTGAATGAGACCGACACTGTCGTATAGGCCACACTCGTTTATTCCGATGACACTAGTCCTCGAGGACGTCCTGGGGAGACAGTCCCACACACACAACCTAGGCAGGTAACAAGCCTCCGTCGCTATTCTCATTTCTCAATCCTGCCCTAGCCGCCAGCTACTCTGGTACTCTCGGCCCTAGCCGCAGCTACTCAACTACGCTCTTCCGAGCCTCCAGCGTACTCAACTACTCTCTTCCTAGCCTTCCAGCTACTGCTGTTACTCTTCGTCCCTAGCCTACAGCTACTCAGCTACTATCTTCCCTCTAAACGCCCGACAGCTACGCATCTACTCTCTCTTCCCTAGCCTCCAGCTACTCTGTACGCTCGTCCTAGCATACAGCCTACTCAGCTACTCTCTTACCCTAGCCTAACAGCTACTCAGCTACTCTCTTCCCTAGCCTACAGCGACTCAGCTACTTTCTTCCTAGCCTACAGCTGACTCAGCTACTCTCTTCCCTAGCCTACAGCTACTCAGCTACTCTCTTCCCTAGCCTCCAGCTACTCAGCTTACTCTCTTCCCCTAGCCTACAGCTACTCTGTTACTCTCGTCCCTAGCCTACAGCTACTCAGCTACTCTCTTCCTAGCCTCCAGCTACTCAGCTACTCTCTTCCCTAGCCGACAGCTACTCAGTTACTCTCTTCCCTAGCCTACAGCTACTCGTTACTCTCGTCCCTAGCCTACAGCTACTCAGCTACTCTCTTCCCAGCCTACAGGCTACTCAGCTAACTTCTATTCCCTAGCCTACAGCTACTCAGCTACTCTCTTCCCTAGCCTACAGCTACTCAGCTACTCTCTTCCTAGCCTCCAGCTACTCAGCTACTCTCTTCCCTAGCCTCCAGCTACTCAGCTACTCTCGTCCCTAGCCTACAGCTACTCAGCTACTCTCTTCCCTAGCCTACAGCTACTCAGCTACTCTCTTCCCGAGCCTACAGCTACTCAGCTACTCTCTTCCCTAGCCTACAGCTACTCAGCTACTCTCTTCCCTAGCCTCCAGCTACTCGCTACTCTCTTCCCTAGCCTACAGCTACTCAGCTACTCTCTTCCCTAGCCTACAGCTACTCAGCTACTCTCTCCCTAGCCTACAGCTACTCAGCTACTCCCTTCCCTAGCCTACAGCTACTCAGCTACTCTCGTCCCTAGCCTCCAGCTACTCAGCTACTCTCTTCCCTAGCCTCCAGCTACTCAGCTACTCTCGTCCCTAGCCGACAGTCTACTCCGCTACTCTCTTCCCTAGCCTACAGCTACTCAGCTACTCTCTTCCCTAGCCTCCAGCTACTCAGCTACTCTCTTCCCTAGCCTACAGCTACTCAGCTACTCTCGTCCTAGCCTACAGCTACTCAGCTACTCTCTTCCCTAGCCTACAGCTAATCAGCTACTCTCTTCCCTAGCCTACAGCTACTCAGCTACTCTCGTCCCAGCCGACAGCTACTCAGCTACTCTCTTTCCCTAGCCTACAGCTACTCAGCTACTCTCTTCCCTAGCCTACAGCTACTCAGCTACTCTCTTCCCTAGCCTACAGCTACTCAGCTACTCTCGTCCCTAGCCTACAGCTACTCAGCTACTCTCTTCCCTAGCCTACAGCTACTCAGCTACTCTCTTCCCTAGCCTCCAGCTACTCAGCTACTCTCTTCCCTAGCCTCCAGCTACTCAGCTACTCTCGTCCCTAGCCTACAGCTACTCAGCTACTCTCTTCCCTAGCCTACAGCTACTCAGCTACTCTCTTCCCTAGCCTACAGCTACTCAGCTACTCTCTTCCCTAGCCTACAGCTACTCAGCTACTCTCTTCCCTAGCCTACAGCTACTCAGCTACTCTCTTCCCTAGCCTCCAGCTACTCAGCTACTCTCTTCCCTAGCCTACAGCTACTCAGCTACTCTCTTCCCTAGCCTACAGCTACTCAGCTACTCTCTTCCCTAGCCTACAGCTACTCAGCTACTCCCTTCCCTAGCCTACAGCTACTCAGCTACTCTCGTCCCTAGCCTCCAGCTACTCAGCTTACTCTCTTCCCTAGCCTCCAGCTACTCAGCTACTCTCTTCCCTAGCCTACAGCTACTCAGCTACTCTCTTCCCTAGCCTACAGCTACTCAGCTACTCTCTTCCCTAGCCTCCAGCTACTCAGCTACTCTCTTCCCTAGCCTACAGCTACTCAGCTACTCTCTCCCTAGCCTACAGCTACTCAGCTACTCTCTTCCCTAGCCTACAGCTACTCAGCTACTCTCTTCCCTAGCCTACAGCTACTCAGCTACTCTCTTCCCTAGCCTACAGCTACTCAGCTACTCTCTTCCCTAGCCTACAGCTACTCAGCTACTCTCTTCCCTAGCCTACAGCTACTCAGCTACTCTCTCCCTAGCCTACAGCTACTCAGCTACTCTCTTCCCTAGCCTACAGCTACTCAGCTACTCTCTTCCCTAGCCTACCTACTCAGCTACTCTCTCTCTTCCCTAGCCTACAGCTACTCAGCTACTCTCTCCCTAGCCTACAGCTACTCAGCTACTCTCTTCCCTAGCCTACAGCTACTCAGCTACTCTCTTCCCTAGCCTACAGCTACTCAGCTACTCTCTTCCCTAGCCTACAGCTACTCAGCTACTCTCTTCCCTAGCCTACAGCTACTCAGCTACTCTCTTCCCCTACAGCTACTCAGCTACTCTCTTCCCTAGCCTACAGCTACTCAGCTACTCTCTTCCCTAGCCTACAGCTACTCAGCTACTCTCTTCCCTAGCCTACAGCTACTCAGCTACTCTCTTCCCTAGCCTACAGCTACTCAGCTACTCTCTTCCCTAGCCTACAGCTACTCAGCTACTCTCTTCCCTAGCCTACAGCTACTCAGCTACTCTCTTCCCTAGCCTACAGCTACTCAGCTACTCTCTTCCCTAGCCTACAGCTACTCAGCTACTCTCTTCCCTAGCCTACAGCTACTCAGCTACTCTCTTCCCTAGCCTACAGCTACTCAGCTACTCTCTTCCCTAGCCTACAGCTACTCAGCTACTCTCTTCCCTAGCCTACAGCTACTCAGTACTACTCTCGTCCCTAGCCTACAGCTACTCAGCTACTCTCTTCCCTAGCCTACAGCTACTCAGCTACTCTCTTCCTAGCCTACAGCTACTCAGCTACTCTCTTCCCTAGCCTACAGCTACTCAGCTACTCTCTTCCCTAGCCTACAGCTACTCAGCTACTCTCTTCCCTAGCCTCCAGCTACTCAGCTACTCTCTTCCCTAGCCTACAGCTACTCAGCTACTCTCTTCCCTAGCCTACAGCTACTCAGCTACTCTCTTCCCTAGCCTACAGCTACTCAGCTACTCTCTTCCCTAGCCTCCAGCTACTCAGCTACTCTCTTCCCTAGCCTACAGCTACTCAGCTACTCTCTTCCCTAGCCTACAGCTACTCAGCTACTCTCTTCCCTAGCCTACAGCTACTCAGCTACTCTCTTCCCTAGCCTACAGCTACTCAGCTACTCTCGTCCCTAGCCTACAGCTACTTCTTTCCTAGCCTACTACTCAGCTACTCCCTAGCCTACAGCTACTCAGCTACTCTCTTCCCTAGCCTACAGCTACTCAGCTACTCTCTTCCCTAGCCTACAGCTACTCAGCTACTCTCTTCCCTAGCCTACAGCTACTCAGCTACTCTCTTCCCTAGCCTCCAGCTACTCAGCTACTCTCCCCTTCCCTCTACTCTACTCTCTTCCCTAGCCTACAGCTACTCAGCTACTCTCCCGCCCACTACTCAGCTACTCTCTTCCCTAGCCTACAGCTACTCAGCTACTCTCTTCCCCTACCTACAGCTACTCAGCTACTCTCTTCCCTAGCCTACAGCTACTCAGCTACTCTCTTCCCTAGCCTACAGCTACTCAGCTACTCTCGTCCCTAGCCTACAGCTACTCAGCTACTCTCTTCCCTAGCCTACAGCTACTCAGCTACTCTCTCTTCCCTAGCCTACAGCTACTCAGCTACTCTCTTCCCTAGCCTACCTACTCAGCTACTCTCTTCCCTAGCCTACAGCTACTCAGCTACTCTCTTCCCTAGCCTACAGCTACTCAGCTACTCTCTTCCCTAGCCTACAGCTACTCAGCTACTCTCTCCCTAGCCTACAGCTACTCAGCTACTCTCTTCCCTAGCCTACAGCTACTCAGCTACTCTCTTCCCTAGCCTCCAGCTACTAGCTACCTCTTCCTAGCCTAAAGCTACTCCTACTTCTCCTAGCCTACAGCTACTCAGCTACTCTCTTCCTAGCCTACAGCTACTCAGCTACTCTCTTCCCTAGCCTACAGCTACTCAGCTACTCTCTTCCCTAGCCTACAGCTACTCAGCTACTCTCTTCCCTAGCCCTACAGCTACTCAGCACTCTCTTCCTCCCTAGCCTACAGCTACTCAGCTACTCTCTTCCCTAGCCTACAGCTACTCAGCTACTCTCGTCCCTAGCCTACAGCTACTCAGCTACTCTCTTCCCTAGCCTACAGCTACTCAGCTACTCTCTTCCCTAGCCTACAGCT